TCTCCTCGGAGTTTTCACCATCTTTTTTAGAGTATCTGCCATTTCAACGTTTTATTTTCAATAAAGTCTCTTTCTTCCTGGCTCTGCAAATCGCATACGCTGTTAAAAGCTCATGGAAATCTCCCACAACAGGCTTACACGCTTGCATATAAAGTCTTTCAGAAGTATCCGTTTACAACTGTCTCTCTCTCTTCTCCTTATGTAAACGCATCAAAGAAGCACCCCCCTCCAATCGCTTAAGGGGTTTCAGGGGGGGGGGATTTCGCTTCAAGTATCCGTTTACAATAGTTTCTCTCTTCCTTCCCCTCCTTGTTTATGTAAATGCATTGAGAGGCGTCCCTCTCTTAGCACGTTATCGCTCAGAAAGTTTTTCCTTTGAGGGGGAGGGGATTTTCTCTTCTGAAGACAAATCGCTCATTTTCACTCACAGTTCACTCCTTAACTCACAGTTCATTGTTGGTCTTTATCTTGACCACGCTCTTAATCGCTCCTCCGCTAGATTTCCTGCGCTTGATTGGGTCGACACAGCTTGTGGCCTCGCTAAGAGGATGCAGTCAGCGAGAGGGACCGTCAGGGCGGAGAGGAGCCTCCATCTCCCTGCCGTTAGCAGGAAAAGAGGCTCACCCTCAAAAGCCCTATGGCTTGGGAGTTCTCTCTGAACTCCCGTGGGGGTGCCGAACCAGCGGCACCTCTCCCCCTCGCTACTGTGCGGTACGCCTCCCCAGAGAGCTGGGAAAGGTGTCCGCCATCGTTGTGTTGTAGACCCCGTCTCGAGAATTAGATATTTTGATAACATCACCCATCTAAGCAAGGTGCTTTTTTATCAAATGAATACTAGTAATCTTTTTTGAGAGCAGCTTTAAGGGATGAGTTGACATGATAAGAATATTTTTGGCCTAGTGTTGCCTGGTATAGCTTTACAGTGAAGTTAGTGTAGTTGGATGGGGGTTGCATGACTAATTCAGATGTGTAATTGGTGTAATATTAATTGCTCCAAATCTGTGCTAAGCAAATATTTTCTGTGAAGATGATGTTGAGTATGAGAATGAATCAGTGATTGGTGTTTGCCATTTATACATTGCACCAATGGTCTTGTCTTGCAAATGCTTTTGTTCATATTTTAGTGAGGGAGAACATTTCATAGTGTAAGGAAAAACCCCTCTGGAATCATAAGTAATAGTGGAAAGCAAATATTTTAAGACTAACAGTGCAGTCCTATGTGAAGTTACTCTAGTCCAAGCTAATTGATTTTAGTATGCTTAGACTGGAGCCACTCTGCATAGGATTGCGCTGTAAGTGAGACTATTGCTTGAGAAAATCTAATTAAGAAAGACTAATGAGTTTTTTATTTATTAGCAATGTAGCACATACTCATTAATTCAGATGAAATAACCTCCAGTGCTGCTTAGTTTTGTAGCAAATCATTGCTTTAGAAACTGACTGCAGACCTTTGAGTCCTTCTCGTTTCTAATAGGAAAAAAAATCCCTTAATAGAGCTTACATTTGTGTGTAAGTATGCTTCAATTTAGGATAGATTTCAAAACATATTTTACTGAGTAAATTATAACTTGTGCTGATCAGTTGAAATCACAAACAAGAACAAAGTGTGTTCATCTTTTTTCATATGACATGTAAACAAGGGCTTTACCTATTACTTGGTTAGATTAATTAGGACACTTTTAGTTGACTGAAATGACATGATCAATTAATCAGGCATAAAATACTTGTAAAAGACCTTGTAAAAATTACAGGTGGCAAAATGAAGTATGCTGCAACTCATGTACCCATCAGCTACCAACAAAGTAGGCTGCTACTTAGAACAGTTGTGTTGCTTATATGCAAATTTATGCAGATTTAACAGTAAAGTCTTTATGATGATTGACAGGGATTCTTTATTAAGGTGACAGCTGTCGTTCAAACACACTAATGTAATATTTCTAATATATTATTTATAACTATATTTCATTAGGTCTTCCTAACACCTTTGGTGGTTATGATGAAACTCCTGAAGTGACTGCCAAGCACCTAAAGGTATAATAGAGTTTCCTCAATATTAATTTGTTTTCCTACTGTGAAAGTAAGCATAAACAATTTTTGTATGTAAATCAGTGAGACAATATTTTCTCATCCAGTTTAGGAACTGAGCTTCCCTATTACATAATCTAGTCGCTACAGAATCCCAGGACTCTTGATTCTGATTGCAAATGAATTGTGTATTAGGTAATATGTTAACAATAAAGTTGCCAAAATGTAGCTGAATTTGTTTATCTGCTTTTAAACACCCAAGTATTCCATAGTAACATAAAACAGTATGGTATACTACAGTCATGAAATATTAGAAAGAACATTGGAGGTTATCTACTCCTACCCACTACTGAATGCAGGCCAATCTGTTTCACTGTTGAACAGGCCTTAACTGTTTGAAAATTTCTTTTACTATTTACCCAAAATGTACTTCTAATTTCCACCTGTTCTAGTCCTGCTCTCTGGAACAAGTGAGAAGAAATCAGATACATCAGCTACATTTTCTTCAAGTAAATATGCCTAGCTCAGTCAAACTTTACTCATGGGGCTTGGCTTCAAGACCCCCTTACCATTGTGGTCTGAGTATTTCCTTGGTCTGACCACATTTCCTGTGGTCTGAGTATGTCCTTGAAATGCAGTGTCCAGAACTGGACATGGTTCTCCACATGAGGTCCAGGTAGTGCAGAATAGAGTTACTTGGTGATCTGCTTTGAACATATTACTGCTGGCCAATTCATTTCCCCCCCTTTGATTATATCTGAAAAAGTTTCTTCTTCTTCTTCTTCTACAGGAATTTGCCTTAGATGGTTTGGTGAACATAGTTGGTGGCTGCTGTGGGACCACTCCAGCACACATCCGGTAACTTCATCTCTGCATTAGCAACAGAACAATCTAAAGTCCCGTCCTCTTCTAGTGACATACGAGGTTTGGTGGGGGGAAAACAACACTGCAGTATGGTAGTTATAGTGTGAACCTGGGAGACAAAGATTCATATTCCCACTGAGTCATCTTAGACTCAACCTAACCTACCTCACAGGGTAGTTGTGATGAAGAAGTGGAGAACAGAGAACTGTGAAAACTCCTTTCAGCTCACTGAAGGAATGGTGGAACAAAAACTTACTTGATGGATAGATAGGTGGAAGAAAGCTCAATGTTCTATCCTCTTACATAATTAGCACATTACTGTTGTCATGGGTAATGTGAAATTCAGCCTTGGGGGTATTTCCTGGTCAAACATTCTAGCAGCAGTTCCTACTGTGTCCCCAAACCTCCAGGTATTTCCCTCCTTAGAGTTGGCAACCCTACTTTCCCCTCAGTGCCTGATGGTAGGCAACTTAGTTTGGTCCAGTCACCTACTTTGGCCTTTGGGAGAAAACATATTGGGGCCAATCCTGATAGGGTTGCCAACTCCCGATGGGAAATTCCTGGAGATTTGAGGGATGGAGCCTGAAGAGGGTGAGGTTTGAGGAGGGGTGGGACCTCAGACAGGTACAATGCCATAGACTCCACCCTCCAAACCACTCAGTCCCTCATGGGGAACCATTGTTGCCAATCTCCAGGTGAGGGCTGGAGACCACTCAAAATTACAATTGCTCTGCAGAAGGGAGGGCGGAAGTCAGCTGAAGTCAAAGGGGCAGATAATGGTAGGTTGATGGTTAGCTGGGAAGGAGATGGGGTTGCCAACTCCAGGCTGGCAAATTCCTGGGGATTTGAGGGGTGGAGCCTGGAGAGGGTGGGGTTTGCGAAGGGGTGGGACATCAGACAGGTAGAATGCCATAGACTCCACCCTCCAAACCAGCCATTTCGTCCTGGGTAACAATTGTTGCCAATTTCCAGGTGAGGGCTACAGATCACTCAAAATTACAACTGCTCTTCAGGGAGCAGAGATCAGTTCCTCTGGAGAAAACAGTGGACTCTGCCGTTATACCCTGCTGAGGTCACCACAGCAAAATGACACTGTTTGCCCAAAGCCAGAGCACTCCCCCAGAGCATCTTTCTAGATCTCGTTGTATTTATTTCCACAACGGGCTTTACTGCTAGTAGTAACATAAAACAGTATGGTGTACTACAGTAATGAAATATTAGAAAGAAAATTGGAGGTTATCTACTCCTACCCCCTACTGAATGCAGGCCAATCTATTTCACTGTTGAACAGGCCTTACTGTTTGAAAATTTCTTTTACGATTTGCCCAAAACGTACTTTCTTCTAATTTCCACCTATTCTAGTCCTGCTCTCTGGAACAAGTGAGAAGAAATCAGATACATCAGCTAGCAGTAATATCTCCCCCAAGTAAATATGCCTAGTTCAGTCAAACTTTACTCATGGGGCTTGGTTTCAAGACCCCCTTACAATTGTGGTCTGAATATATTCTAGTTTGTGACTGTCCTTGAAATGCAGTGTCCAGAACTGGACATGGTACTCCACATGAGGTCCAGCTAGTGCAGAATAGAGTTACTTGGTGATCTCCTTTGAACTATTTTTTGTTCACATATTACTGCTGGCCAATTCATTTCCTCCCCTTTGATTATATCTGAAAAAGTGTTTCTTCTTCTTTTACAGGAATTTGCCTTAGATGGTTTGGTGAACATAGTTGGTGGCTGCTGTGGGACCACTCCAGCACACATCCGGTAACTTCATCTCTGCATTAGCAACAGAACAATCTAAAGTCCCGTCCTCTTCTAGTGACATACGAGGTTTGGTGGGGGGAAAACAACACTGCAGTATGGTAGTTATAGTGTGAACCTGGGAGATCAAGATTCATATTCCTGCTCTGTTCACTGAGTCATCTTAGACTCAACCTAACCTACCTTACAAGGTAGTTGTGATGAAGAAGTGGGGGACAGAGAACTGTGAAAACTCCTTTCAGCTCACTGAAGGAATGGTGGAACAAAAACTTACTTGATGGATAGATAGGTGGAAGAAAGCTCAATGTTCTATCCTCTTACATAATTAGCACATTACTGTTGTCATGGGTAATGTGAAATTCAGCCTTGGGGGTATTTCCTGGTCAAACATTCTAGCAGCAGTTCCTACTGTGTCCCTCTTTGAATGGTCACTGTGGAGGTGCTTTGGAGGGGCGCTTCCAGTTCTGCCCTTCAGGCATCCCCAGAGGTCCCTGATCCCTCGGTGTATATGCAGATTCCTAGAGATTCCAGCCAGTGAGAGGCTGTGGATCCTCTGTTGAGAGCAGAGAAGAAGAAAGGAGCTGAAGAGGAGAGAGGTGGTCAACTCTTCAAACAGGGCTTTGCCAGGCTAGAGAGGTATTCTGTGCTAGGCAAGGAGATAGTAGGTTGGGAATTTGTGAAAGGATCAAGGCAGAATCTGGAAATCAGCTCACCTTATCTGCTGAGTCTGAGTCCAAGAGTTCATTAGATTGGGAACTGAATAGGTGAAGTTCACACTTCCAGTATTACTGTCAATGTGGTAAAGGCGGTAGTGAAGGGACCAGATATCTTAGGGTTTAGTGAGCCTTTCCCAAATGACATCAATCCACCTCTCACCAGGAGAAACAGCATGTCAGTTCTGTAAACCTGTGGGTGGTTGTGACAGCGTGACTCTTAAAGGAACTGTAATCCAGTTTAGATGTGAAAAGAGATACACGTTTACACCACCTTACGTCAACCAAAATAAGCCTTTAAAAAAAATAACACCACCAAAATAAGCCTTTCAGTTAAAACAAAGTAACTGTGTGAGCCCAAATGGTGAAGGAGGAAGTAGAAATCACTTCAGAAACTGGTGCTATTCTCCTCATATCCCCTATGTACCTTCAGCAAATTACCCAGCTGTCCCAATAATTACATTTAGACTTATTGACCGCTTGCAACCAAGCATGTATTAAATGCTACCCCTTGCTTGCCAATCAGTGGGGACATGGGATTCTGTTGTTGGAGTGTGGGTAAAGTTTAGGAGGGGCTTGGTTGGATCTGTTGTTGGTTTACACTAGATCTGCCCCTTAATTTGTCCAGGCTCCACATCTACTGTCCCTGAGCCTCCTTTGTAGTCACACCAGGCTATTTGTCCTTTGGGTTCCTGAACCAAGTGTGCTGGTAGTAGCAACCAGTAAGTACGACTGAGATTCTTCATTAAGCAGCTTACAGAGTGATTTGCTGTGTCTTCATTAAGCAGCTTACAGAGTGATTTGATGTGGTGGTGGTCTGTGAAGAGGAAAGGGAGGGGCCAAGAATGAATAAAAAGGAAGAACTGGAGATGACATGTATTTGCCTTGATCCAACAGTCTGATTTCAGTTCTGTCAACAAGATTATCATCATATAAGGCATTTGTCCTATGGAACAGTTAAGATGGAGGCTACTTTACACTGCATTTCAGGAGTGGGCCAAAATCAAGGGAATCCAAGATCTGGATTGTAGGGATAAATTTAGGATGGGGTGTGGCCACCAAGAATATTCTATGGTTAGCATTCCTCTCTAGGAAGATGAGGAAGGTACTTCAAGCTGAAACACTTCTTTAAAAATATTCAGTTTGGTGCACCTAAGCATTGTTTCCAGCTGTAGAAGATGTTAATGAATGTGCAAAGAACTCTACTAATTGTTAATTAAACTCATTTTTTGTTCAACCATCTTCTTGGGGTGAAATGTTTTTCAGCATTCTCCATGTAAAGTTAATTGCAAACCTTTCTTTATTCCTTCTCTGTTGGCAAGAACATCACCATCTTCCTCTTGCAAGAAAAGAGAGATCTTTTTAGGGCTTTCTTGGGGAATGGGACCATGTCCATAAGCACTGCAGCCTTCTGAGAGTAAAAGGAGAAAATGCCCTGGGAATTATGCAGTTAAGAAAAAATGGCTGTGCTCTCATGGTGGTTTATTACATACACTTAACGTTATATGTATTGATTTCATTTTATTTAATAAAATGTTTTATCCTGTTCCCCCTCCACAAGGGAGCCCAAAGGATTTGTCACATTTCTCCCAGAGAACAACAAGTGCAGGGAGCTTGAATTTTTTGTTGCTGGTGAAGGAATATAGACATTTTCAGGTTACACTGTCTGATGTCGTGATCAGATATGAAGTAACTGTACAGATTTGTTTTGAAGTGTGTGCCTGTATGTTCATGGAATATCAATAAAATTAAAAACAAGGTAGAAATATGGCTGAATGGAATAAGTGGTTGTAATAGAATACATAGCTTTTTACTGTCTCTAGTTTTCTCTCTGCCAGATTAAAGGCCAATTCATAAAACCATTTTAACATATAAATGGAATTGCCTGCCTAACATTACCGCAACAGATCAACTATTGCAGGAAGTACATTCTTGTCATATGAATTCATTACACTTCACTGAATGCAAAGATTACTGATCAAACAGGAAAAAAAGTTTTGTTTTGAATTATACTCAAAAGTGAATCTGTTAAGGACTATTTTCACAAAGGTCTGAGCAATGTCTGTGGCTAGAACACCTTTCTGAGCTCCTTGGAGGAAAGCTGGCAGAAGAGGGCAATAAACAAATGGGCGTGAACCAGGCTCCAGCATGTTGCCATTGAGCTGAATTGTGAAGCTTTGCCACTGTTTTGATTTTGTGTAATGCAGGAA